AATTGAGTTGAGGTTGGTGGATATGGGGTTGCAAATGGAAGAATCTAGGGAAAAAAGATAGGTGCATAATAATATCAAAACACGAGCAATACCTTAATGAATCATATGTTACGTAGTACTCTGAAGTAACATTACATAAAAAACTACTAATAATTTTTAACCCAATAAGATTCAAAATTTGACCTGGAGGTTTTATTCAACACAAAGTTCAATAGAGATAAGTGTCACCATAATAGATTTCAGGAACCGTAATCAGACATAACTTAAACACAACAGAGTTCAGTGTACAGGCAAGCACATGATGGTATCATATGATTTAAAGTACCAGAATCTTTCAAGTTTTCGTCTTATTGATATTGTTATCTCATGCCAGTGTGTTTCTCAAATTCAAGCTATGTAGAGACGTGAAATGAAAAGGTGAACTCGACATTATAATGTAAATGGCCAACTTGATATGCTATCAAAATTTGTCCTTCAGCTGAAATCTTACTCAGGAATGCAATTTTGTTAGTTTCTATCTATATACCTGAAAAGATTCAAGCTTTTGTCTATTTTGGTCAGCTACTATGTGTATCAATCAGCACAACCTGTTTGTGTAAATCTGATTGGTTTCTAGTGTTACTTGAGTAATTACTTTTGCACTAGTGATACATGAAAAAGACACCTAGCTGTTTTCAGCCAATCAAGAGGGGTCGACTTTCTTCCAGGCTTGTATCATACGCACAAGTTTTCGAAGCAAATTTTAATTTAAAAGCCTAAACGTCACCCAGACGACTATTCGAGACTTCCTTAATTTTGCTCAGTGTAGAGTGACCTTGATTTGCCTGAGAAAATCGTGTCTCACTCTAACCCAATCAGCTCAGTCTCCCTCCTCCACCACCATGACGACTTTTCGCTTATCTCCAGTTGTCTCCCTAACATATTCACAGATATCCTAATTTTGGGGTTTGCAAACCCGATTCCAAAAAAAAGAGGACATCTAAGGAACAACTTATTATTTCAAATTCTGAGGGCGATACTTTCTGTTTTTTAAATGTTTTCATCATGGGTAAAGGGACGTGCTCAATCATAGTTATTAGACGATCTGAGAAGCGAGACCTCCCCCCAAGTGTCAGTGTGTCTTCCACCGCCCAATGGCTATGGCGCTTACCCTCTCCAGGGCCGAAGAATGGGCGGAAAAAGCTTCCCTAA